ATTTACATCGGCTATAGAGGACTACAAATCTCAGCAATACATTATACAGAAATGCAATCATTCAATGACAGCCTAGAGTCCTTGAAGACACTGGGCTGTCATTACATGACAACAGCTGGGCGGAGCCTTTTGGGCGGAGCCTTTTGGGGGGAACCCCACGCTTTTGTTTTTATTTTTTTTTTAAATGGGGTCAGTCCTGCCTTTTCTACCAGACCTTGTCTTTTCTTTAAATGTTTGTATTATTTTCTTGACTTTTTAAAAAAAAAAAATGTAACATTTATTTGAATAGTTTTGTCAAAAAAAATTTTCTTCATTTGTTTACATTTTTTTCTATTCTGCTTGCTACCTTGGAGGAAGCGAGCAGAATAGCTGAGCCGAATGCCACTCAATGGCATTTGGCTATTCACTCTCTGCCGTTCAGCCCCTATGAGAATAGGGACGAATGGCAGCGAGTGAGCTGCCAGAGCTTTGGCTTAGCTGATCCAGATGTTGGATCGTCTGAGTCGAACTCCTTCTGCCCTTCGGTCCAGCTGAACATGCAGCCGAAGTCAGCCGATGTACGGCTGATTTTAGCCGACGTACGGCTGATTTTAGCCGACGTACGGCTAAAATCAGCCTTACTGAGCTGCAGTGAATAGCTGAATGTCGCTGTTATGCACTTGGCTGCCTTTGGCAGCTTTGTGAACAACCCCCTAAGACTCTAACTGAAAATATTTTATAGATTTTAATGGATTTTAATGGAGATTAGTAACAATTTACTCTATTGAATGTTGGTAGTCACAGCTCATCTTAGAAGAAGTGGTAGACCTTTGCAAAATGAACCAACAAGAGATGAGGAGCAGGTCATGATCTGATCAAGGAACTATAAGTATGGAAGCCAATACCAACAGTGGGAGGGATTTTCTTTGGATAAAGGCATGGTTAGTATGTGGATTTGAGTTGTGAGGATTGAAGTAGTACAAGACGTCTTTGGCAAGAGGGTAATGCTTACACCAAATGTCAACCAAACCATGTTGAGCTAGTACTTGATTGAAGGTTTTGATGTTAACTGAGAAATGTCTGGGGTCCAGAGGGTTTTGTCTAATTTGCAATTTAGATGTTAGATTTGGAAAAAAAAGGTCCCCAGTAGCAAGCAAATATTGGCTAGGAAGGTACCTGGATTAGTATTTGGAGCATGGTAAGAGAGTATGGTATGCAAAAGAGCTTATATATAGTTTACAGCAAATACATAGTTACATAGTATTTGAGGTTGAATAAAGACATTAGTCCATCAAGTCCAACCTATTAGGATCTCATTTTAGGAGTACCTGTACCCCTGTATATTGCGGTCCCTTAAGAAATCGTCCAAAAGTTTCTTGAACAATTCCACATTCTTTGCTGAAATCACCGCCTGTGGCAGTGAGTTCCAGACCCTAACTGATCTTACTGTGAAAAATACATCTCCCAGTCGGTTTGATGTTGAGAGAAATATGTTTGGAGATGTTATAGCCTATATGTTTAAAAATGTGGGTATTAAGAGCTCAATTCTTAATATGTAAGATTTGAACATGTGTACAATGTTGAGTTCAATTCACTACTGTGTTTATCTACTTACCAATGGAGGTAGGTCGGTAGTAGCCACCGTAACCAGGGTTTATGGTACAATTTCATCAAATATTGCAAGCAATATACACTTATCAAACCCAAATGAATGCTTTATTTTATCAAAAATAAATTAGTTCATCACGCTCAAAAAATTGACCCCCTAACCTTAACATAACCTATACTCCTAAACCTAACCCTTCAATTTAATCCTTAGCTTGTCCCTAGCCCCCAGACACTAACCCTAAATCTACAAATCACATGGCATATATACTGTATATGGCATATACTATATACTCATGGCAAGTATTACAGGTATACTACTTCTAAAAAATACTATACAAATTACATGCAATAAATGCTTTGGCACATATTTATTGTATAAGATGCTAAGATATGAATGCCAAGATGAAATGAAGAAGTGAGCCAGCTGAAAATGTTCACTAGAACTATTTTTTAGTTCATCACAAAAGAGTATGGTTACACTATGGTACGGAGGTTTGGGAAGCCCAGGTGTAGTGATCAAAGAATGGTTACTTAGCTTTTCATAAATCATAATCCTGCTGAGCTTAGTGGATGCATTTCAGATCTAATAATAAAAAAATATGACATATGTTGCTTCCTAAAGGGGGGGGGGGGGGCCAAAAAAACAC